GGGTAAGTCTCTTTTCATGGCCAAGAAATTATTACTCTAACTTGAATTAGGCTAACCCAGATGGACTTTATCATGCTAAATGAAAATGTACTAGTAACAGATTTTTTCCCTAAAGAATCTGTTCTAGTCTAACTGTCTGAAAATAGCTAACAGTCTAACAAGCCCCTGGCACAAAGACTAGCTTCAATAACTGATCAGACAAAAAACAAAACCCCAAACCAAAACCCCCACCAAAACACCAAAGCTTTTCTTAACCTTAAATACCATTGCCAAGCCTTACACCTTCAAGGGCGAGCCTGGCGACCTCTCCTCCCTGGCCCTGCCATGTGTTACTAGCACAGTTTCAGTTAGCTCAGTTCAGGTGCAGAAGAAAACAGCTGAGGAGAAGGAAGTTAACTGGGTCCAGCATGGCCTGGGCCTTTTCCCACGGACCTGGCATCAAGATGATTCATGCATTTAAATCCCCACGGACCTGGCATCAAGATGATTAATGTATTTATTTGTCAGCACGGGCGGAGCTCTCCAGCCAGAGGGTCCAGAGCCCCGTGCTAGACTGGAGAAGAAACACAAGCAAGTTTCCATTTTACGGTCGTCAATTGAGAAGACAAGGTACACACCAGAAGGTGTTAAGTATCACACTCAATACAATTAGTGGAATGCCAACATTTGTAGAACCCCTTCCGATTTCCTACTCTAGAACTGTGAATTTAGGGTTTATCCAATGCAGACCCTGTAGGGGTTCCTTTCCTCACCGTCCGTGGCAAATCGTATGTGCTCCCTTCACAATCCCTAAGTATCTATATCACACCAATCACCACCTTCTTCCTGAAGTCTGTATTCCCACAGATTATTTTAGGTTTGCTGGAAGCAGACACCATGCTCACCCTTGTACTTTAGTAGAATCTATAAACACTCCACGATTGTTTCCTAGACGAATCCCCTTCAAATATTTGAAGGGTATCGACTGGGTCCATGTTAAGCCTTTTCTCAATGTTCCTGGCCAGTTTTATTACATCCCAGGTCCTCGAAGCCCCCCTCCTAATCCAAGCCGGACAACCACGCCCCATTTTCATGAATTAATGAGGGACACTCGCTCGGTAACTCCCCGGGCATTGAAGACGCGAGGGAAATTCGAGCTCCGCCTTTGCCCCCGTTTCCCAGTGGGTTCCATGTTTTATGGTGTTGCCGTGATACAAGCAGTCTTAAAAAGGCAAGTTCAACGTGCTCAATGCGGTTTACAGTGATCCAGGAACCCCAAGGGGCGAAGGTGGTCTGCAGGCTAACACTCACCACGCCCACCTACACCCCCCGCAAGAGGGCTTACACGGAATTCCGTGCTGTTATGTACTTTTACACGCGTCGCCTACCCTTCGCGCATGCGCTTTACGCTCTCAACCACCCCCCACCCCATCCCGTTAACCTGCTGCGCACGCGCCCATTCTGCCTCTTCAGTCCTAGTTACTAACTCCTCGTGCCCTCACTTGTCAAAGCTCACCCCCTCGTTACGGCCCCCACGCCGGCACTAACCGGTACTCGAACTCCTCATCGTCGTATTTGTCCGAATAGTAAATCTGTTTGTGCGACATGATCGCTCTGTCTGAGATCGTCAGCCCCGCGCCGCCAACCTCCAAACAACTCCCAGCAGCACGCGCTCCCACCCACTTTGGCCTCACTTTCAAACACGCCGCCTGCACTTCCTATTGGTCCCTTCGATGTAAGGCGGGACAACTCCATCTCCAAGCCTCCTATTGGCTTACATTTGCTTCTCGTCGAGTCCTTATTGGAGCGCACTTGTTACGTTTATCAAGGACGAGCTGAGGTAAAAAATAGGCCTCTTATTGGCTAGAACTGCTTCTGTGACCGTTCCCGCACTGCCATTGGCTGATCCCGGAAAGTGGGACGGGTGAAGGACGGTGGGGTAGAGGGTCAGGGGTTAGCGAGGCCGGAAGTGAGTGTAATAAAGTTTCTCCAGGGAGGCCTTCCCGGGGAGAAAGTTGGAGCAGCGACCCAAGGAGGCACTGGCGTGATCCAGAACCAAATCATCCCGCGGCGCGGTGCGGAGACTCCATGAGGCCCTGGTGAGTGGGAACTTTTTTTCCTCCTTAGGTGACCCACTCCTCCACCCCGGAACCCCTCTCCCGGGACCCTACTTCCGGTCTTCATTCACAAGCCCCGCCCCCTAAGACCCCCTCCCCGGAAGTCCCACCTCCCAGCCTCGGGGGGCTTTTTATCCCTGAACCCTGTGTGGTTTTCTACTTATTGTCCCCGACCCCACCCTGTCGCCCAGCTTTCCTGGAAGTCCCACCCCTAGACGTGCTTTCCAGCCCCACTCCACGAAACCCCACGTTAGTCCTTCCGATGCCCCGAAACTCCGCCTCAGCGCGACGGTTCCCTGCTGGCTCACAGCTGCCCACCAAAAAGCCTCTCTCCCGAAAGGGCAGAACCCTGCCCAAAGCACCACGGTCTTCGAATTGGCGGAACCACGCCTTCCGAGAGGCTCGGCCCTTCTAGGAGCCCCGCCCCTTCCTTAGTCCACGTCGGATCGCCCAGAGCCTGGCCTCCTAGAAGTCTCCAAAGCACGGGCCGTAGGACTGCCCTCCCTCGGGAGATTTATCCTTGTGGAACCCAGGTCTTCACCTCAGAAGCTTTGCCTTCAACCCCACAAGCTCCATCTGCTCATGTTTCCCTGTTCCTTTTCTCTCTCGGGCTTTGGGCTCAGTTTTCCTGCATGCTCCACCCACCAGGTGGGAAGGCAGAGTTAACACCTCTGGGTCTGAGGAGTGAGCGTAGAGACAGCCCTTTTCCTTTCCTGAACCCCCTTCCAAGGGTGGCTCCCCGAAGGGGGCTGGGCTTGGGGTTTGGCAGGAGCGGGGAAGGGAGGCTTGCTCAGACCTCTGGCCCCACTCCCTGAGTTCCCCTCCCCAGGACCCACCCATCCCAGGACCAGCTGTTCTGTCTCATACCTGTATCAAGGGGTTTGGGTAGGGCACTGATTTGACTGTGAAAGGAGCGAAAATTTTCCACCATCAGAAAACGGTGTCTTGGGGGGTGGGGGGGAGAGTAAGGGGCAGTGACCTTTTTGCTGTTTGATTTTTTTTTTTTAAGGGTTCTGCTCAGCCTCCACCACTGCTCTGGCCCTGACCCTCCCCCTAACCAGAGTTCTTGTCTGGGCATTCCTTCTGGTCCCGCTTGCCCAGCCTTCCTTTCTGGAAACATTCCTGAGGCTTTCCACATTTCCTGCTACTTCCCGCTCTTGCCTCCTCCTCCTCCCCGCTGGGCTGGGAAGGCGCATGCCGCTTCTCCCCACACCCAGTCGCCCGCCCGTGGACAGTCTCCTTGCTTTCTATGCAGAAGGAGCCCCACCTCCTCGTACTTTGCCCCCAGATGCCCACACCTGTTGGTCACTCGCTGCCTGTGGGTGCTGCAGGCTTCTGCAGGATGCCCGTCTCTAAAGATGAAGACACCCCGGTGTGTGTTTGCGTGTGTGAGGTGGTGGCAGAACCCTTTCCTTGTGCTCTGGATGCCCGGGCGCTGAGCCTCGGGAAGCAGACGGAGAGAATCCCTCTTCCGGAATGGGGGATGCCAGGACAGCTCTCCTCTGCTGAGGGCCGGGGGAGGTGACGAGCTTAGCACATCACATGGTTATTTGCATACTTTTATCTGCTGAAGTAATTTAAGGATAGGTGATTCCGAGGTGAGCTCAGGGGGTATATGTATTTTACTACTTCCTCTTGGGTCACTTTCCAACTTCCTCTATGGCCCCCTCACGCAGAGCTGCGGCAGGAAGCTGTGGGTGGGAAGCGTGGGTTTGGGATGGGTTCCCCGTGTCCAGCCTCGGCCCGTCTTCTCTTGGCACTCCTTTCTCCTGTACTTGGCATAGTTTGTCTTCTGCCCCCCTGTCCCTTCATGGTCTCCGTTTCACGCTCCCACCTCCTCCAGCCAGACTGTGCCCTGGGTATGAGAGAACTGTGTCCCCTGGTGGTCATCCCCGCAAACAGGGGGAGCTGACCTTGGAGTCAGTGCCCTGCCCCCCCCTTCTACCCTGGACAGCTGGCTTTGCTAACCAGGCCTGTGGAAAGGGGGCAGGACAGTGCTTGTCTGTGGGCTACTGTTCCTGGCATCGTAGGTGCCACCAGCCCGCCCGCGGCTCCAGCTCCTCTCCCGGTGCCTCACCAGCTGTGCCCTTCCTCTTGGCCCTTCTCCTTATCCTCTGGGACCACTTTCTTCCTTTCCCCATTTCTTTTTTCTTTTTTAAAAATTTATTGATTTAGAGAGAGAAAGGGAGGGAAGGAGGGGGGGCGGAGAGAGAGAGAGAGAGAGAGAGAGAGAGAGAGAGAGAAGACATCGTGTTTTTTTGTTCCACTATTTATGCATTCGTTGGTTGCTGCTTGTATGTGTCCTGACCAAAACCTTGGTGTATTGGGACGATGCCCTAACCAACTCAGCTACCCAGCGGGCTCCTTTCCCCATTTCATCAAATTTTTATTGATTTTAGAGAAGGGAGGGAGAGAGAAAAACATCAATGTTAGAGAGAAACATTGACCGGTTGTCTCCTGTATGTGCCTGGCCTGGGTCTGTGCCCTGCCTGGGACGATGCTCCACCAACATATCCACCCAGCCAGGGCTCCTCTCCCCGTTTCTTTACTCCTGTTCACAGCTGTCTAGTGAGGGTGCTAATGGCCCAGGCTCCCTGGGGCTACCACCCCGCTGTGTGATGGGGGTGGGGGTGGGGGTTTGTGTTCCATCTAACAGGAAGGGAAATGCTGAGCTCTGGGATCCCCTCCCTTTTCCACCCCAGCTGCCTCTGTTTCCTCCCTCATTCCCCCCCTACCCTCCCTCAGCTTCCTGCTCCCTCTGGCCTGCCCTTGTCCGGTTTGGACTGAGCCAGACCTCCTCTTCTTCCCCTCCTTTCCTTCTCCCCCTTCCCTCCCACCCCCACTTTACTCTTCCCCAGATACTAGTTGTTTGTCTGGGGGTGGGGGTGGGCGAGGGTGGCTCGGCCTCTGCACGCGTTCTGGATGGGGGCCGTGGTGGGGGCTCTGCCCCTCCGAGCCTGTGAGTCAGCACTGTCTTCGGGATTGGCCTCTCCCCTTAGTCCCCGCCCTTGGGGAGGAGCCTGGCAGCTCTCGGTCCAGCCTGCTCCTCTCTCAGCCAGAGAAGAGGCTCCACGCTGGGCGGGGATGGGGCTTGAAACTGTTTGTGTCTGAACTGGGGGAGCCAGAGGCATTGGAGCCACTGTCCCTCTTCCTTCCCAGGACCCTTGGGATCCCGGGGCCATAAAGGGCCACTCAGGCTAAGGGCCTGGGGATGCCCCCTGCCTGGCCCCCTTGCCCTGACTGGCAGGGGGGCCAGGCTGGGCTGCAGCCTCCCTCTCACTCCAGCCATGGATCTCCTGCCCCCCAAGCCCAAGTACAACCCACTCCGGAATGAGTCTCTGTCATCGCTGGAGGAGGGGGCCTCAGGGTCCAGCCCACCGGAGGAGCTGCCGTCCCCCTCGGCCTCTTCCCTGGGGCCCATCCTGCCACCTCAGGCTGGGGACGACAGTCCCACTACCCTGTGCTCCTTCTTCCCCCGGATGAGCAACCTGAAGCTGGCCAACCCGGCTGGGGCACGCCCGGGGCCCAAGGGGGAGCCAGGCAGGGTGGCCGAGGATGGGGAGGGGGTCGCCGGGGCAGCCGTGCCAGACTCAGGCCCCCTGCCCCTCCTCCAGGACATGAACAAGCTGAGTGGAGGCGGCGGGCGCAGGACTCGGGTGGAAGGGGGCCAGCTGGGGGGCGAGGAGTGGACCCGCCACGGGAGCTTTGTCAATAAGCCCACGCGGGGCTGGCTGCATCCTAACGACAAAGTCATGGGACCCGGGGTTTCCTACTTGGTTCGGGTGAGTGAAAGTCCTCCCTCCCAGGCCTCTCCAGCTCCTCTGCCCACTCTGGCTTTGCTGGATCTCTCTCTTCCTGCTCTTCCCCAGCAACTCGCTTGGTTTCAGCGTCCTTTTTCCTAAACCTGTCTTGCTCCTTCTCTGATTCTGCAGCCCCTTCCAGCTCCGCCAGGGTCCCCCTTCCTTCTGGTGGCTCCCCCACCCCACCCCCACCCCACCCGCACCCCCTGCCATGCCTAGCACAATGCCCAGCCCCTGGGAGGCCCTTAGTAAGTGTTGGAATGAGTGGCTCTTGATTGTTCCCTCCAGTCTCCTCCCCCTTTTCTAGAGATGTCACTTCATCCCACCCAGCGCCCATCACTCCCAGTTCTCTTCCCAGCGGTGTGAGGGCCTCCCAGCTTGCCCTTTCCTCCTCTGCTCGTTCCCTGTTGTCTTGCATGGTGTGGGCTGTGGCAGAACGTATTCATCTTTACTTCCCTTAGGGACCCTGTAGAGAAAAATCCTAGGGCCCTTTGGGAAGGGGATGGGGGCGGCTGACTGATAACCTCCCGTTCCTCCCCTCAGTACATGGGCTGTGTGGAGGTCCTGCAATCCATGCGTGCCCTGGACTTCAACACCCGGACTCAGGTCACCAGGTCAGTGGGGAGGGGGCAGAATGTGGGCCTCCTGGGGCTGGTGCGGGGAGGTGGGCGTGGGTCCCTGGCTGATGGTTTATCTTTGGGTGGTAAAGGGGATTGAGAGAAAAGTTAGGGGAATGAGTCCACGTCTGAATGAAAAGAGGCAACTCTGGCCTGGATCCTTCTTACTCATCCGGCCTTGGGAGTTGTGGGAGGAGGTGGCAGAGGCAGCTGGCAGCTGGGGCTCGAGTAGAAAATGGGGGTAGATGAAAGGTTGCTGCTGCCTTTGGGAAGGGAATGGGACATTGGGTAGCTGGAAGGGGGTGGGGCCAGCCTATCGAGGCCCTAACCCAATCAGCCAGGAAGCGGCCTCTCAGTGTCATCAAATATTAAAGGCCCTTAATTCAATCCACCACGACAAAGAGCCTGGAGTGCCCCTGGAGTCTGGTCTGGCCCTCCCCTCCCCCTCCCCCTCCCCGGCCCTATGGCAGCCCCAGCCGAGGGAGAGGCCGGCTCCGGGTCTGAGCACCCCTCTTTCCCCAGGGAGGCCATCAGTCTGGTGTGTGAGGCTGTGCCAGGTGCTAAGGGGGCTTCGAGAAGGAGAAAGGTACGAGGGGTCGAGGGGGTGAGGGATGCTTCTGGGAGCTGTGGAGGGGCAGGGTGACGGCAAGGATGGGACCTGCGGGGAGAAAGCCGAAAGGCAGGAGTGTGGGGGTTTCTGGGGGTTGGGAACCCCTGTCTTCTGAGACCCTTGGGTACTTCCTTAGCCCTGTAGCCGCCCACTCAGTTCCATTCTGGGGAGGAGTAACCTGAAATTTGCTGGAATGCCAATCACTCTCACCGTCTCCACCAGCAGCCTCAACCTCATGGCCGCAGACTGCAAACAGGTTGGTGGGGCTGGGCAGAGGGACCAGAGACACTAATGGGAGGGCTGAGCGGGGGCCTGGCTGTGAGGGTGAGAAAGGAGGAGAGAAGGCTTGGGAGCAGCAGGACAGTAGGGAAGGAGGTGATTAGGAGGACACAGGGCAAGAAGTCAAAAGGATGAGAATGAGTCTCCGAGGTTCTGGACCACGGGTGGGGGGCGCTCAGGTGAGCCCCGAGGCTGCCTGACACCTCATTCCCTTCCTTCTCCATCCCCTGCCCTAACCCTCAGATCATCGCCAACCATCACATGCAATCTATCTCATTTGCGTCCGGCGGGGACCCGGTGAGTTGGGGAGCAGAGCAACAGTGGTGGGAGAAGAGGAAGGGACAGGGATTGGGAAGGTACTGACCAGAGAAACGGGCATGCTAGATGGAGGCGATATCTGAAAAGGACTGGTATCTAGGGGCCAGGAGTGGGGTGGGGCTGTCAGATTTAGCTAACTGGCCTCTTCTGACACTCTCTCCACTCCAGGACACAGCTGAGTATGTCGCCTATGTTGCCAAAGACCCGGTGAATCAGAGAGGTGAGGCATGGTGGGGAGCGCTGGGTGGGGCCAGCTCTCATGAGGCAGGTGAGCAGGATCAGGGGGAGCTAAGCCAGGGCTCCTGCTGAGGAGGAGGAGGAGGAGGAGGAGGGCTCTTGTCTGCACCTCCTCCCAGCAACCCCGCCTCAGAGCTCACTGACAGTCTCTGCTGTGCCCCCAGCCTGCCACATCCTGGAGTGTCCGGAAGGGCTCGCTCAGGACGTCATCAGCACCATTGGCCAGGCCTTCGAGTTACGATTCAAACAATACCTCAGGAACCCGCCCAAGCTGGTCACCCCCCACGACAGGTGAGCGGGGAGGAGGGTGCGGGGCCAGCAGCTTTTGGGCCCCAGACCGGAAATGGGAAAGTAGGTCCGCTATTCCCACACTGGAGCTCAGAGTGTGGTTCAGGGAAGGAAATAACCTGTGTGCCCCCCGCTTCCCACTTCCTGCTATTCTTCAGCTTCCTGTGGCTCTCAGCAAAGCCTTTCGAGGCCCTGCCTGCTGCAGGGCCAGCTCTCCCCTCCTTTCCCCCAGGGCTTCGTGTTGTAGCCCGTCCATTGCCAGCGGCCTGGTATCTGGCCTGTCCTGTCCCTCTTTCTTGCTGTTTCCCCATCCTTAGTTCTTTGTTTTCCTTCCCTAGAAGCCTCTGAAAGTTTGAGTGAGGGAGGGTGGCTCTTTCCTGAGTTCCTCGCCTTTCCTCCGGCCAGCAGGTATTTAGCAGAGGAGATTAAAATATTCTGGAGCACCCCCCCACCCCTTGCTGCTTAGTGTTTCTCCTCCCTCTTAGGAGACAGTGTAATGATCAGAGGCATGAACTTTAAGTCAAATCTGAATTTGCAGCTCAGGTGAACCACCTTTCACTGGGAGACCTTGAGCAGATCTTTTCACCTCTGACCCTCATTCTCCTCACCTATAAATGAGGCGTGGCTCAGTGGTTGAGCATCAGCCTGTGAACCAAGAGATCACATGGGAGGCTGTGGGCTCTCTCCCTGGTGTGGGCGTGCAGGAGGCAGCCATTCAATGATTCTCTCTCATCATTGATGTTTCTATCTCTCTCTCCCTCTCTGAAGTCAATAAAAGAATATGTTTTTTTAAAAACTGGGAAAGGAAATCCTACCTTAGAGAGGTGCGGGGAGGATGAAATGATCATATAAAACACTCAGCCTAAGGCCTACCTCAAAGGAAGTCCTAATACATGGCCATTGTTTCTTTCCCCTCCCTCCATCCCCCCACCCGCATTCCTCACTCCCTCCTGTTCCTCCTCTCAGGATGGCTGGCTTTGATGGCTCAGCTTGGGATGAGGAGGAGGAAGAGCCACCTGATCATCAATACTACAATGACTTCCCGGGGAAGGAACCCCCTCTTGGGGGGGTGGTGGACATGAGGCTTCGGGAAGGAGCCCCCCAGGGGCCTGCTCGACCCACTCTGCCCAGTGCCCAGAACCCCAGCCACCTGGGAGCTACGCTGGTAAGTTGCTTTGATAGAGGTGGACTGGGCCTGGGATAGGAGTGGCTGGTGAGGGCCTCTGGTTTCACCTTATTTTTGTTCCTTCAGCCTGTGGGGCAGCCTGCAGGGGGAGACCCAGAAGTCCACAAGCAGATGCCACCTCTGCCACCCTGCCCAGGTATGGAAGGGGCTGAGAGAGCCAGAGCCAAGGGTGCAGGGGGCAGGGCTGAGGTCCCTGAAAACCTCCCTTTCCTCAGCAGGCAGAGAGATCTTTGATGACCCCTCCTATGTCAACATCCAGAACCTGGACAAGGCCCGGCAAGCAGGGGGCGGGGCTGGGCCCCCCAATCTCGCTGTCAATGGCAGTGCGCCCCGAGACCTCTTTGACATGAGTGAGTGCTTCTCCATTCCATATCCTGTCTTTCTACTTGGTTCCTCTTCTGCTCTTCCCTTCCTGGCCTCCCCTCCCTGAGGGTTCTGGTCCTGGACATGTGTTGTGCCAGCTGCCTCTCCTAGTCCTCTCTCTGCACCCCCAGAGCCTTTTGAAGATGCCCTTCGGGTGCCTCCACCTCCCCAGTCAGTGGCCATGGCTGAGCAGCTCCGAGGGGAGCCCTGGTTCCATGGAAAGCTGAACCGGCGGGAGGCCGAGGCCCTGCTGCAGCTCAACGGGGACTTCCTGGTGCGGGAAAGCACGACCACGCCTGGCCAGTACGTGCTCACTGGCCTGCAGAGCGGGCAGCCCAAGCACCTGCTGCTGGTGGACCCTGAGGGTGTGGTGAGTGTGGCAGGGGTATGGGTGGTGGTGCCCTCCTGTGCAGCCCTATTCCTTCCCTTATTACTTCCTAGATTTTCCCCGCGGGGCACCTCTGTGTGGTCCTCCCCGCTCTCAACAT